CGGAATGAAGGTTAGCGCTTTCTCCTGTAAAATAAAAATAATTTAAAAAAAAAAAAAAAAAAGGGAGCTAGGGAGGGTTATATCTGAAGAGAAGGGAGGGAGAGGAAGGAAAATGCTGAAATAAGAGGAAAAATCAAAATGCAAGAAATTGAGACTAAAGCTATTCACACAGGTGCTCACGCTAAGCAGCTGGTAAAGTTGGGCTCCTTCCCCACACCTGGATACAGGCACTGCCTGCTTGCTACAAATCCAATTAGAAGATACACACTTCATTCCGCCCTGAACTTTTCACCTTTTAATTGAACCTCATCCAGAAAAACACCCCAAGGAGCACACTGCCCCCCCTTCCCTCCCCAGGTAATCTCTCAGGCTTTTTCAGATCTCAAATGCCAGAAGAGCACATTTTTCCAGTCATGCTGATTTTTTTTTTTTCCCCCCACATCCTCACCCTATAAACATGAATTAGGAAGTTAAATTCTCACTGGAAGAAGCCTGTAGCTCTATTCCCACAACTGTCACAAAGATTCACTGGAAAAAGATGCGCTCCCGAAACCCGGAGTTATGCCCACCCTCTAATGAGGCAAGGATTAGAGGAAAAGTTGCTATTTTACAAGAATAACTAATGCAGGTGGAATAAACAAACTGTCAGCTAACACAAGCCTTTTTCCACAGCTTGGAGAGCTTTTTCTCCTCCGCTACTACAGCAATGACTTTTATAAAAGGGATTAAAAACTTTCCTTCCAAGCCTTTTGTAAACCAGATCCCTCAATTATTACACCTGCAACAGTACTAGTATACTACTTTGTGGAAAACCACCACTTTGGTCACTTGTATCATCATAACACAAGTGTAAACCTTTTTTTTTTTTTTTTTTTTTTTTTTTTAAGGCAAACGTACATTTTTGGGTAGAAGACACCCTCCCCATCAGGCTGGCAAAGCAGACTGGAGAGTACTCCATCTCATGGAGATTAAACTATTTCCACAGACAGCTTCCTGAAATGTGAAGACAGAGAAAATAAAGTACAGCAAAAGAAGTTTAAAAGTCGACAGCTCCCATCACCTCGACACGTTTTTATCCAAGCTACTGTTTGCTACTTACACAAGACGAGGTTCGTGCACGGAGCTTCATTCGGCCAAGCCTTGGGCTCTCAGCAAATCGCTCACACTAGACTGCAGAAAAAACACAGCCTTCCAATAATTTCCAGTTAACAGGAATCAGATGAGGAGTCTGTCGTAGGTTAAACAATATTATATCAGACCTGGATACCAACCTCATCACACCTTAGAAGTTCTACATACTTTTAAATGTTCAGCTTATTTTTTAAATAAGTTTGGTATGAATATGCTTTATTCACGATTTGACAATGGAGTTATCCTCTTCACAATCACATTCAAAGTGCTGAGTTTGCAGCACTTACAAGTCTCTTAAATCTGCATTTTCTAGTTTTCACCTGGAGGTAAAAAGGAACACTTTAAAAACAGCAATAGCTGATACTGCTGCACCTGCATCAGAAACAAAAATCAAGACATTTTCTCTTATTTTGACCATGGGGACGGAAACGAGGAGAAATTAAGAGACGGAAACAATCTTGGAAATCAGCTAGTCCATCTCCCTGCCGATGGAAAAGAGAACAAACAACAACTCCTCCGCTGCTCCAGCCACTCCCATCAGAATCAGCTAAGTAGCCCTTCTAAGCCATTTTGGCTGGGTCAGAGGTTGGTTTTGGCTACTGTATTCCTGAACTAAGCCCACTCATTCCCTGAAAACAGGACATTAAGTCATAGCTCTAGAGAGGTCCCAGAGGATTTGACATACTGTATCCATCACCTGGTTTTAACTAATATTTTCTTTTTTAAGCCATGAAGTTAATTCCCCACCAATCCTTTTTCCTTGCCTGCTTGAAGCCTTTCCTAAGCACAGCCAGTCTGTTCCAACATCAGATCTTTGGCATTTGGTTCCTCCCCATATACACTGCTCAGAAGGGATTACAGGACCCGGTGAAGCTTTGGAGTATTTTTTTTTTTTTTTTTCCCTTCTTCTCTTTACAACAAGGCTGACAATGCCTTGGTTTAGCTCTTTGGAAAATGAGAGCAGATACTGTGCTGGTTTTGACGTAAGGTGGGGAAAAGACAACATGCTATCGTGAAGTAGGCAGCGGGGACTCTCTCTCCCACCGCTTGGCAAAGGGCTCCCTTCTACACCAGGAATAATCCTCTCCCTACAGAAAGCAAGGCTCCCCTTAAGGGACAGCAGAGGAAATCTCAACAGAAGATTCACAACTGCAAAGCCATGGAAAGAATTCACATCCAGGCTGATTTAACAGGACTGAATTGGTTTGCCTGGGCCAATCCATGAGGTGTCAAACAGAACCAGAGGCTCGTTTTAGTTAACTTCTTGTCACCAAACCCACCCAGGCCTGTAAAGTACCAAGCAGCAGAGATATGCGTATTCTCCATCATCAGGGGCAGGGAGACGAGACAAAAGGACGGCATTACCTTCCTCAGCAGAACTAGAAAGGTTCACAGTACTGTGTCCCTGCCTTCGGACAGGGCCAGCGGGGACGTAAAGTCCTGTAGCAGCCCTGCATCCCCACTGCAGAACCACACTGAGTGAATTCCTCTGGGCAGCAGCTGTTCCCTCTACCACAGTTAAAAATTCTCTTCCCAAGAACAACCCAGCACCTATGTCACGCAGACACCATACACAATCTTTCAAAGAAGTCCACTCTCTTGTGCTCTAGTGCCTGTAGAAAGCCCTGGATTCTCTCTTCCCGCATGGCGGTGCATTTCTGCAACAGTGTCCATCGGCGCTGAGAGTCTCCGTGGGACGCAAACCCCTCCTGCTGCAGCTTCTTTGTCACGTAAGCCTGATCCCTTTCCATCTGTTGTCGCCTCCTTTCCTCCATGTAGGAGTCTCTGGCCTTCTGGAGTGAAAAGCAGTAGAGCGTTAGCACTTCACCAGGCCTTTCAGCTCATCCGTGGTACAGATGCAAGGCAGCAGAGGAAGAAATAGCCGAGCCTCTGCTCGGCCATCAATCTGCAGGTTAAATGAAGGGTGGCTCTGAGCACGCCTCCTCCACTTTGAGGCAGCCTGCTTGATTGGTTATAAAAAAAAATAATACAGGGATATCCTTCTGGACCTTCTCCCCAAGACACAAGTCTGCTCACAGCATTAACTCCTAGTTAAAATAGATAAAGGTCATGACAGGTTGTGGAAAAACCCTCAGATATCAGAATCAGAGAGGAACAGCATACAAGAGGACTTTCAAGCCACAGACGTGCACACAAGCTATCCTCACCAGTGCCATGACAGAAACTTTGATCCTACTCGCATGGCAGCTGAAAGGTTTTAGGGGATTCAGAACAATGATTCATGGGGCAATTCTTTGAGCTGATGATCAGGTATTGAGCTAATTGGCTTCAGCAAAAAACCAAAAGCATTCCCAAATGCCTGTGTTCCAATAATGTACTGGCGGCTCGAGACACAGCAGGATGGGCAGGAGGAAGGAAAAGGCAGTAGCTACCCTTGCCTACCCTTCAAGTATTTGAAATATTTTTGCAGTTCACTTTTGAATTACTTCTTATTGCACATATCCTAGCCTGCAGCCTCCAACAGCAAAACCACATCTGCTTGCAGGAATATTAAGCTTTCATTTTTAAAAAGGGTAGAACTGGTCACTGTGACATAACCTGACACACACGCACTTAGGGAGTGCTGGCCTTTCAAACGAACAAGAAGAAATAATTATTCTGAGAGCCTGACTCACTCTTCACATTTTCCCTGTACCCAAGTCAGTAGTCTATGTTCTGGCACTGTAAATTAGCTTTTGTTGGGCTGAGAATGAAAGTAGAAATATCCTTAGCTACAAAAAGCCCACTGAATTGATAGCACTCCACCGCTGTAGCTCTGCTTATTTGAAATGTAAAGATCATCAGCCTGTTCAGCCAAAGACTTCCACTCTCGGATAAAGTGAAATTCTGTCTATTCACCATAACAGACCCAGTGTGACCACTTCCACAGGGCAGGCCCATCAACCCACATCTGCCTTCTCTCCCTCGGTCTACCACATACTTTTGGTACATGGTTATAGCTCAACCTGGGACTAAGCGGTGAGCAACAACCAGCTAGTAGACTCCCTTGAGCAGCAGGCTAACTGGAATATGAAGATGGCTGTTAAACGTGATGCTGTTTGAAGTGATGGAAGGATCTTTTGTGAAATGCCTCCAAATCAAGGGTTTTTTTCTATACCTTGTCAAACTTGCCATCCAACTGCCTATCCACACTGCAACTGCCTCCAGTGTCGCGAGCACAGCAGCACTCTCCCAAAGCAGACAGAGCTGCTGTCATATGTTCTGACTTCTCAGCAAGTCAACCCCCTAGCCCCACCTTTCTGACTGACAAGCAACTCTTCCACCAAAGTAATTTGTTCCAAGAGCTCCAGATACAAAAAACCAGCTCCTAAATCTCAGCAGTTCCTTTGAGAAGTCCTCCCTTCTGCACAACTGGGCTGCATCCCGTGAAAAAAGGGTGGCCTTATATACTGCAAAATGGGTCTTACAGCAAGAAAACTGACCAAAGAACAAATCTGGATGATAAGAAACCTTGATAGTAGCATTGCACAAACACAGAGTCACAGACAAGAACTAAGAGAAGATGAGACTAGCTAGGAACAGAAGAAGCATTTGTTACCCATCAGAAATTAGCACTAGGAGCAAAGTCAGAGCAGTGACCTTACTGTTCAAGACAGAGGCAAAGCTAGTGTCAGTGACAAACACTATGGCCTTTTTTTGCTTTCCTCTTCATGCAGAAGGTGAATTGCCATCAGTTGTATTAATACAATGAATTGCTGGTAGGAAAAGGGCAGACTTGAGGCAGAAACGGGAATAAAAGATGTTAAGGACGTGGAGAATTTGGATGCTTCCAGAGTGACTGCACTCAATTCAATTCACCCATAACCACAACCGTCTATAATCTCTTTGACAACTCTCAAAGGTGAGCAAGGTCCCTGAAGGCAGAAAAAGGCAATATAATGCCTGGCTTGAAAAAACAGAAGACCCTAACAGTTAAGAGACAGACACATTCAGCAACCAGATACAGTAAAAGTTAAGAGTCAGCACACTGAGGTCCTCCTCCTGCCAGTTACTGCTCTCTCTGTGCTACAAGCTCCAGCTCCCAAACTTGTTTTGCTTAAAAACAGTAGTGACTTCGCAATCTGGTCAACTTGGCCAGATTTATCTGAACCAGGTCAGGGAGAGCTCACAACAACAAATCTAAAAGGAGAGGAACAATGACAATGAGCAATAGGAACAGTCTCTCTGGTAGGCACATCTTGACCCACAGGAAAGAGGCCACTTGTCCACAGTCTCACAGCTCAGGCAGCCTCACTTCAGCTCCCACAAAATAAACTCTAAACCCACTTGTTACAAAGCTCTAAGAACAATAGCAGAGTTAAAGGAACAGCATGCAAATTCTCCCTGCTCATTCCAGAGTGTACTCAGCAGTCTTTGCTTAAACCACTAATGAAGTGGTTTGAGTTTAACTCAATTTTACCCCGTAGCATATCAGAAATGCTTGTTTGTTCTGTCCTGTCAGCTGAGGAGTGGGAACAGACACTTCCAGCTGGTGGAATGAGCAGTAAAGACAGTGGTGACTTCAGATATTTCTGAAAGTAGAGGAGTCTGGCCACCTGCTACCAAGCCACATGGATACAGCACAAGCCACACATCTGGCATTAGCTGCTACTGAAACAAGATCTTAACTAACCGCACTAAATGAACAATTCCTCTGTTCCCACTTTGCGCTCTCACCTGATCTCCAGCTGTGCAGATAACGTGCTGTGTTCAGCTTTCCATCCCCCTAAGGCTCCCTTACCTGTAAAGCACTGTAGTTCATCTGGAACCGAAGGATAGCCTCACACAAGTTCCAAAAGGAATATTCGGGCCACAAGACTGACTGAAACACCAGGCATGAATGAGATGTCTGCAGAAAGCAAGATCACCAACAATTTAATCATCTAGTGAGGGAAAAGTCATCAAGATGCAGCTCTGTTGGTCAAACTATGCCAGTTTCCCCACAAAGATTTTTACCTAGGCTGTGTTATCAAATTCAACTGAAAACAAAATAAGTACCAGCTAGGAGAGTTTGAAATGATACAATGTAGAGTCTTTCTAATTTGTTTTTAATGCTGGGACACAAGTCATCCATTCCTGTAAAAATACCAGCAGAATTCCTTCTAATGCTATGTTCTAATACTTCACAGAGGTATTTTTAATAGCTTAAGCATTACAGACATACACCAAAACTAAAATAGCGACACCGGACTACTAAAGGCCGAGTTAAGGGAATAACAGATGAACCGAGGATCAGGACATGACATTTAAGCCATTCATCAAATGACATCTCGTGATATTCCTTACTGCCCACTCATGGCATTTAAACTGCTTAATGAATCTAAGAGTTGTGGTGCACTGAACATATCCTAGAGCTGAAAGATGAAGAATTTCAAGTTAAAGCCTATTTTTGCCATCGAGTCCCTCCAAGTTTCAGGTAAGTGTGCTCCTATGACCATTACTACAAAATCTAACACTTAAAAGGACTCTGCATGACTCAGAGTTGTAATGATATAGAAAATCTTAGTGTCAATTCCATACAGAAAAACCATAAGGACATTTTCTTGACACCAGAGAATCATCCTGAATAGCACAACGTCCCTCCTACTTTGGGGCTGTCCACGCACAATTACTACTGAAGGGAAATTTGTACTAATACTCTGGCACGTGAGCTGGCAGAGCGGGAGCACAAGCACACGTTCTCTTCTGCTGCCTCTGTCATAATTCATGGCACGGGAGAGGGGCATCGTGCCAGCCAGACTCACAGAGCACTCACTTCCTCAGTAATGCTTCACCAGCTACAAGCTCAGCCTCTGAGACACCTCTGCCAGGACCACCACCAAGAGGAGCAAGCAAAAACGTAAGTTCGCAGCATTGACACCCATCCAGGGTATACGTGTGCCCCAAAATACAGGGAGGAGAGGGAAATGCCTTGGTATGCAACCACAACTCAGGCCAGACAACTTCTGTGAACTTGCCAATTAAATAAGTTGGAATAGGAACATTTGATGTGGTTGCTTAAAGGCAATTGGGTTTTGGCTCCAAATGGTACATGTAAAACAAAACATTAGGTTTAAGTAAAGCTGCTTGACTCAAATGTTCTCCTGCAAAGTTTGGCTTACAAACGAGTCAATATTGCCTAGCACAGGAGAAAAAGAGATGGAAGCAGCTTTGGGTACTGTAACTGCAAATACACAAACTTTATATGCGTTCAGAACTTACTATGTTTTAGCTTAGCAATCTAGTCATGCTGACTTTGCCATCCTTAGAACCTGTCTTGCAGGGTCTTGTTTCATTACGAAAGTCAAATACACTTCTGAAACTGATGTCAGGCATGAACATTACATGTACGTTACAGGGTCACACCTCCAATACCCAAAGCTGACATGTGACAAACACCTCTCCCATGAATCTAGAAATCCTTCCTGGGATTTCCTCATCCCAGGAAACATATTGCCAGGTTAAATTAATCAAAGCCAGGAATTTACCAATCAAATTAGGAATTGCCTAAATGTGAGAAGAGGAGCAAAAGGATGAGCAATTCATGATTTCCTTGAGTGCTGTCAGACAAACTAATTTGTGATTTCTTACTAAGTGTTTTCAGGATGATACAATTTCAGACTTGCACTGCAAGGTACTTTAGGCACAGAACTGCAAGAAACGGGTTCCTCTGAGGTGCCCCAGCACTCAGTCCATCCAAGAAGTTACCTAACCCCTGGCAGAGAGAGTTTAAGAGCCCTCATGTCAGCTCATGCCTGGAGACAGTAGAACACTCTCTGATGCAAAGATGGAATATTTTAAGAAGAAAACAAAGGCTTTACCTGCCAGAGCAAGAAATCACTCAACCGAACCTCTCCAGAGGTTCGAATCAGGAGGTCTGGGTCAGGGGAGTTGTTGGTGTACAGACACTTATCAAGCAACGATTCAGACACGTCACTGAAAGACAGATGCATCTTATTGAGATCACTTTCCTGACCCAACAGAGGTGGCACTACTAAATCAGAATTACTGAGGGGGTTTTTATAAACACAGGACTGCAGATTAAAACAGGGTGGTGGAGCTGTACTACAGCCAGTCATCAACTTGTTCTGACGGACACTGCTGTCTGCTCCACAGGTTATTTTTCAAATGCTTTTTCAGCCCTCAGAGCATCCCCCCATGCTCTTTGAAACATAATACAGTGGTGGAACCAGACTGTGAGGACTTCCATCTGGAGCAGAGATCAGAGTGCTAACTACTCCATCTCCTCCGGGGTGGAGGAACAGTTCAGTATTCATGATTCATCTGTTGTTTGACCTCATAGCTAAGACTTCCAGCCAAGCAGCCAGTAGTTGTGGCATAAAAATCTGCATTCATATTTAAACTTAAGACACAGACCTAATTTCTCTTCTGTCTTGGTTGTGTATCTATCACCATGGTAACTGAAATAATAAAAACCAAACATTGCATAGTAACTTTAAGTCATTTGTTCCAGTCATACTGTTTAATGAGATCTATTTAAAAGCCACGTGGCTTCTGAGAGGTTATTAATAACGTGTAGGTGGTAAGACAGGCAGTCTTCATCTATGAAGCCTCACGCGAAGACAAGAGTTACCTGGGTTCAAGCAGTCCTTGTTCCACCCCCCAGGCCATCTCCCTCACAGCGTTGCTGATTTCATGTCTCGATGTGTATGCAAAGCAGACATTTAGAAAGCATCTGAAAAGAGGAGAAATATGTGAAAGACTGACCTAAGGAAGGTCCAGGAGATGACAGAGAGAAAAATATCTACAACAGTTATGTGTGCTTGTAGGACAAAAAGAAAAAAGGTGTATCATGTCTGCCACATCTGAGCCTTTGGGTTGAAGAGGAAGGCATGAGGTATCAGCTACTTTGAACTGTGTGTTACTTACTTGTTGTAGTTCCTAGTTGCCAGCACAGCTTGGGCAATCAGCTCCTGAATATCCACAGGCAGAAGTGGCAGGTCTCCGAGGACACGGATACACACACCGTGCTTCCTCAAGCTCTCCCTACGCCCAACAAGAAGAGTGAGGACTACAGAAAACAGGTCAGACTCTACCACACAAGTGCCATGTTTGCCTTGAGCAACGTCCACCAAATGAAAACAGCAGGCATGTAGCAAGCATAGCTTCAACAAAACAAAGAATTTGAAAAAGGCAAAAAGACCTAATGTTTTTCAGGTGTTGACACCTGGTTTAGATTTGGTCATCCCAAACCATTCTGTAAAGGGAAATTGATCATTCCCCAGAAAAGTTCCTGAGGTGCAGGCATACCCAAAGGACTAGAAAACAATCGTAGGTTAAGCATTCCTACCTCAAGTTCTAAAAATCCATATGGAAAACTCAGAATACAACCATAGACTCTGGCCACCTATAACTAATCAAAAATTAAGATGACTAATGGTCACCCACAGAGTAGCACAACTACATTCTGGTGTAAGGAAAGATTAATGTATGAGGGTGGGATGTGGGGATGGTGGAGTGAATGTCAGATGAGACAGGAAATCATCCATTCCTGCCATAGCATTATTCTGAGCAGACAGGACACCCCACGGGATCTTACAGGTTCCTGCTGTCTGTCTGCCCGGTGGTACAAACTCCCTGATGAAGGGCCGCATTGGGTAGAAACCAGGGAAACGGTCTCTTTGAATCACGGCGTACTGCAGTGCTCAGATAGCCCTGATCTGCCCAATTTCTACTAGCGCAGGCATGCTATCCTTTCCCTCCCATTCTTCCAGCTGCATTCCCTCACTGCCTTTCAAATTTATTTCAACCACTCTTTGTACCAGTCAGGCATGGGGAAATAAACATACCCAAACAAGGCACCACAACCCCACTCCCTGCTCACTCAAATCTGTACTAGTTCCATCTACGTGCAATACGTGAACTAGTTCTTCAACAAGTGACTTAACACATCGTGTGCCCATATGTAGAAGTCTCAAGTTACCGCACAGCAAGCTGTCGAGCTAAACTCTGATCTGCCAAGAATTCTATGACAGAACGTAAGACAAGGCTTGGATGCTTCATGAAAAGTCCGCATCCAGCACTCCAGCGCTAAGCAGGAACTTCTAACTGTGCCAGGCTCATCTGAAAGCTGCATTGGATTGTCACACAGTAAGCCCTACGACACAGACACAAATCTGGCGTTCTGGGGAACTGTGCGTGCTCAGGAGCTGTTACATCCCATCCAGGTAGGCAGAGCCCCTGAACACAAATCTCTAGCTGGAGGTGGAGAACGGCATCCTTAATTTAATCCATTTTCACGACTTCCAGCATCCCTGTAACAACTCGTAATCACGTTCTGCTTTAGTTACGCCCTGTGGGATACAGGCACGAGATGGTTCTTACTGTTCTTCCAGTAGGCGGCTAAATTTCTGTCTTGCCAGATCCATTAGTCCATCCACCTCCTCCTTGGAGCGTTTAAAGTTCTCAATACTAAAGGCATAAACAGTGACCTCCCGGATGCCCAGATTTAAGCACCACCGTAGTGTCTGCAAGAAGACAAAATACAATAGAAAACAAAAAATCAGAGAAGCAGACTCAGACAGGTCAGCAAGACCCAGCTTCTCCTCTGCTAAAAACTTCCTGTTGTGTCCCACTATGCTAAGATTGAATCAAAAGAAACAACCATCAAGAGTTGGCAATGAAATCCACTCGGTGAAAATGTCAGATTCATCTTAAAGAACAGGACATCATCTAAGGATGTGAATCCACAACAGATATGGGACTAATCCAGCCAGGGAGAACACTTTTTGTAGATAACACTATAAATTACATAATACCATACCTTTCAAAACTTTTTCAAAGAAATTCAACCTGCTGCACAGAATTAAAAGCTTCAAGATCTACAAGGCGGATATTTTAATTGAGTGTAAAACAGAGGGAGGGGGAAAAGCTGATTAGAATGACTCTGCAAGATAACAGGAAGAGAGAGAGAGGAGCTGAAGCTATGAACCCTGGTGACTAACATCAGCTCCAAGCACAGGCCTGACTCCAGTGAAGAAAAGGAACACAATACACCAGCCAAGCAGAAAACACAGCTCAAGCTTTCACACACAACTTAAAGGCAGCAAACATCCTTCACACCTGTGCCAGCTTATCAAAGCCTTGTGAATGCCCCTGCTGTCTCTCCACGTGACACTTTTGGGCATAACGGCGATTGCCATCCATGATGAAGGCAACATGCTTGGGCATTGGACCTGCCTAGAAAACAAGGAGAAACAAAACAGACCAGAAGTGCCAGCTTGACTGTTCACTCTTGCATCACAGAGAGCTTAGTCCCGCTGTTTCTGGCGGCGCTGCCTATTTGTGTGTATCTCCCAGCTTCAAGTCTGGAGCTGGAAAGAGTAAGATGCTAATTACCTCTTTGTTAACCCCAGTTTAGCCTCTCTAAAAAGCATATCAGTATCGACAATTGCCTAAACTGAAAAGCAGCTTTGTTCTCCCTATTTCTATTGCATGACAGAGCACTGTAGTACTCAGGAGAGAGAGCAGCGCTGCCACAGCTACCTCTCCGCAGTCACGGGAGTATTTTTTATTTCAGAGTTCACGGCCATTTCCACAGACATAATTAACTTAAATGAAAATAAAGTAATGAGTTTTCCCCCCCTTTAAGAAGAGTATTCCTTTCCACTGACCTCATTAGGTCTGCACAGATCCAGCAGCATCGGTCTCAAGACTCTGCTGAGCAAGGACAGAATTTTCCTGGAACTGGTTGGGTTTTATTCTACTCAGCAGAAACTCAGTTTCATTTCTTAGACTCCTAATCTGACCATCTTGCTTCTCTTCCTCCTTCCCATGCCCTGCCTTCATCAGCAAGGGCACAAGACATGGAAGCCTGGGAGTGTAAGCTCATTACTGGCAAGCACTGCCTACAGGCCTGCTCATTTGCAAGACTAAGCTTAAGTAATTTTCCATCCTCAAATGCTGTTTAGGGATGTACATCCAGTGCCAGCATTAATATGCAGCCTTGCTAGCAACAATATCGTTGCAGAACAGAGCAGTCAGAGACAGTTCCACTCTGGACCACGGTGAACCTACAAATTCTTTACCCCAGATAACCAAATTCATTCCTTACCTTGATGATGTTGGCACAAAATCTCTCTATGATGGTCAGCTCTCCTTCTCTGATCCACGACATGTCTGAGAGCTCCTTTTCTTCTTCAATGGGAAGATGAAAATAAAGGGGTTAGAGGTACAGAAGATTCTGTTTGAACCCAAGGCAATGCTACAAACGATCACCTTGGGAAAATGAGCTTTGACTAGCTGCTTTGAGGCCCTTTTTATCATCTGTACAAGTACTTCAATAAGCAGACAATGGGGGAGCCCAGAAACGAGCTCTGAGGTTTTCCAGCTGTATGTCATGAGAATAGATTCTGCATTAGCTGGTAACAAGAAAAAAAAAACAAAAAACAAAACACCACCACCAAACCAAAACCAACAAACCATTACTAGGTCTTCCAGCTGAACTAGCTGGTGAGTTAACACAGACCCAAAATTTGGGCTACTACCAGGTGAGTCACAGGGTGGCAGCAGAGCAAACTGACCTTCAATGCTTTTGTGTTGGAAATCCTTCAAATGAAGCAACCATCTACATCACCAATTACCCTGCACTTGTGTCACCAACTGATATTTCTTTTCATTCATGAGTAGAGAACTTTAGCCTCTGGAGCTGTAAAAATATTGGGGGTTTTACCACATTATCCACACATCAAATATTAAGATCTGGTTTGAGCTAACAAGATACAAGAGTCTGCTGAACTTCCACATTATTATTCAATTCTGTCAGCTAGGAACCCTGAAAAATGTGGGCAAGGCAGCCAGGAAGAAAGAGCTGTGGGGGCAACAGTCCAGATCCAACCACCTGGTACCCATCTAGGGACCAAGGCAGATTCAAATTACACTGATTGCATTAATTTTCCCTATGGACCTTCTCTGCCTCTTCCCACAGGAAGGGATATCTACCCACAGATGCAGCCACAAAACATTAAGGC